ACCGCTCTGCAGTCTCCAGGCGCTGACGTTTCTGCACCTCCATCATGACCCTCAGTGTCTCCCTGGCCTGGTGAGGTCGATACTCATTTATGAGGTGATGCACATGGACAAAAAGCAGTTTCAAGTCTTCCAGTTTCTCCTCTCGCTTTATACTCCCTGGGCTCCTTATCAAGATATCCAAGAGGTCCAAAAAGTTGACCAGGATGGACATATTAAGTTTCCTTAACTCCTTCTTGTGATCAAACTGCATGGGATGCAGCCGCTCGATGCCTTGGCTCTCCAAGGGTCGAATGATCAGATCATCACACTGAAACTGGTTGCCAAACATCATGTAGCTGTCCTTCACAGGTGGAGGTGGCTTTGGAGCCAGGCCCTTACGAATATTTTCATCTGTGTATTCCTTTATATACTGCATTGGAGGCGGAGGAAGGGCACTCACTTGCTGAGGTTCACCCATTTTGGCCAGATGGAAATACCTAGGGAATGCATCAAGAAACACAGATTAAACAATTTGTGTGACATTTTCATGTAAATATAAGCAAATACAATGTAAGAAGTGGCTGTGAGGAAATGAGCCAGAATAAAGCTGACAGAATGTATGGATACAGGAAAAACCCAATAAATTCACGTTACCTTTTCACTACAGCTTATTTACAGCAGGATTAGCTGCACTGGAAGCACACAGAACACTCATTTCTCAAAGGATGAAAGACCAACCTGTAAACTGAGCAGCCACAGGGAGAGAGGAGATCCCTTCCCTAGCTGGGGTCAGTCTGTGACCCTCAGAGAATCACAGAATATCCTGAGCTGGAAGGAACCCACAAGGATCATCAAGTCCAACCCCTGGCCCTGCACAGGACACCCCAACAACCCACCGTGTGGTCATCTGCCCAACGCCCTCAGAGCTCTGTCAGGCTTTGGGCCATGACCACTGCCCTGGGGAGCTGTTACAGAACCCAAACACCTCTGGGGGAAGAACCTTTGCCTAATATCCAACCTAACCGTCCCGTGACGCGGCTCCAGCTGTTCCCTGAGTGCTGTTACTGCTCACACAGAGCAGAGATCAGTGCTGCCCCACCACTGCCCCTCGTGCGGAAGCTGGAGACCCCTGAGGTGTCCCCCCAGTCCCCTTCAGGCCGAACAAGCCAAGTGCCCTCAGCTTCTCCTCCTGCGGCTCCTCCTCTTCACCCG